CCCCAAAACCCCAAAACCCCAAAACCCCAAAACCCCATGATAATAATCCAAGATTGGATATTCATACCTCAGTTAATAGCTAATGAATGTTTGCTCCATCCAACGTTAATATAAGTGGAAGGCTATCTTTTCCAAGTCAACATACCTCCGCATTTTTCTGTAGCAGTTTAGTAGCATGCACACTTTCTCTGTGATTTCTTTCTGGTACCTAGGTTTTACTAAGAGGCAGTATTCTCTTAAGAAGTTCTTGAATACAAAGTACACCAATCTGGCTCCAAAGTCGTCTCTCATGAAGAGACTTCTGGAATGTTCGTTGTATTTTTCAATAACGTTTAGGACAGTTTGCAAGCCTGTTGTAGCATCACTTCCAAAGAATCGGATTTTATGGGATTGGTGAAGGAACTCAAAAACTTCATGAAGCTGGTCTTCGTCAAATTGAAGTGGAATGTTAAGTTCTTTGAATAGTACCTTGACACATTTGAGAGCACCTTCTTCGTTATGGTACTCTAGATAGTGAAATCTTCATCTGAACAAAAGTCTGTAGAACTCTCTGACATCTCTGAGAATCTTCTTCCAGATAGTATCAGATCGTGCTTTGGGAGTAGTAGGCTCTTTACGATTGGCTTTTGATCTAAGGCTATGCTTCCAGAGCGGGATCACTGACTTCCAGATTAGCTCGTACATACTTTTTGCTGTATTGGCAGGCAGTCTTTTTCTACCTTTTGTAGACTTATTGTGATGAGAGGCATACAATAGTCAATACTTGGTAGGTTTGTCTATAAAACAATAAGCAAAAGCTAGGTTTAAAGTTAATCATTGACTCCATGGTTCAAAGTATTCTCAATTGTGACACTAAGCTCGTTACCTAGCATGTTTTCTTTTTCAGTTAGCTCTTCATTCTCTACAAACAGTTTTTGTAGTGGTTTGAGCAAGTGCTCTTTATTATACTCAACCTCAAGGTCCTAAAATTACAGATATAAAGCAGTTTACACAAATTCTATGAGGTTAAATATTTCAGACAAGCCTTATCAGACAATAAAATTAAAATAGAGCTATTTGGTAAAGCAGATACTCTCATGAAATCTTGACTTAAGAGCTCCTTTATTCTGAGAGGCTTACCATGAACAGTTGAAACTTCTTCATCACCTTAATTTTGAATGGCTTCTCAATTATTTGGTCCTCCTCAAGCTCTTCAGTTCCACAAATGTTGCTGGGATCTAAAAGCTGGGTCAGAACATCCTGGTGAACCAGAGTATTTTACAGCCCATATGTAGAACTCCCATTTCATTGAAGAAGTCTCAGCCAAATGTCATCTTGGCACTAAGAGAAATCGAAAATTTCAAGTGCAAATTTTTGACGAAAATTCCGGATTTCATTAATAATCTCCCAAATTTTCTGAATGTAACAGTTTCTTGGAAATAATCACAAGTGTTTGAACAAAAATTAGAGTCCAGCTATATTAACTTACCTTTGTGCTCATAGGTCTTTAGCAGTAAGCACTTGAAAAGGTTTGGCTTGCCCACCAGAGAGCATTTCTCCCCAGAATCTGAACTCTTATTGCTTCGATTTAGTTCACGATTTGAGCTGTGATCGAACAGAGCAAGCGTTCTGTTTCTATGCAATATGTTAGAAATCAGTAGAATTAGCAACTCATAAGGCTGCAGAACTTATGTATAGACTCTGAGGTTTATACTGAAGTTGGCTTATGCCAATAAACCTTTACAGCAGCTATTAAGACATCAGAGTTAAGAGTGATGGTCACAAGAAAAGTATAAGTTATTGACCTCGAAATAGAGTGACCGATCATTTTTAGTAAACTTCGAAGATTTTAAGCAGAACAATGGAGAACATTTTTCTTAAAGCAAAAATCAGAGAAACTTGAAATAAACAATTATTGAAATAACCCTCTAGGGTTTTCAGATACATCATGAATTGTGAAGGATTGGCTAAGAAAAATTAATAATGAAGGAGAAACTGAGATTTTATCAATAAAGAGTGGCTATAATATCAAAATAACTTTAATATCTTTAGAGACTTAAGAGAATTTTGAGCATTTGAAAAGAGCTTCATCATAGAAGAAAACCTCATTAGTTTGATGTAGAGAAAGCTAACTCTTGATTAAAGATAGCACAAAAATTCATACAAAGAGAGGCTGGAAATAATTTAAATTATCCTCGACTAAATAAAAATTTTAGCGTATTTCAAAGATTCCTCATAAATAAAGCACCATGAGCAGCTAGCCTTTCTTTATGGGCTTATTGGCACTATCTCTTGCTAGTCAAAGCCTAACCCTAACTTTCATAACCGCTTGGCATGCTCTACCTCATAACTTACCCTTCAGTTCCTTTAAAAATCATTCTATAAGCCAAGTTAGACCACAAAAAAATCCAAATTTCCCAAAACCCTCGATTTCCTTCAAAAATCCAAAAATTCAAAAAATTCAAAAAATCCAAAAACTTGTACAAAACTAAAAAAAATCTCAAAATTTTAAGCCAGGAAGATGAAAATTTAAGTGGCCGATGCAGGAAGAGATTCGTATGAAGACTTCTGCTGGGAAATTAAATTACCTTTAGGTTTAATTAATTAGTATTAATAGAAGTGCAGGTTTTTAAATAGTTTTTGGGGGTGTTGAGTGAGGAAGGGAGGTTAGTGGTAAGGTAAGGGCGGGATTTGGGAAGGAGGGGTGAGTGACAGGGGTTTTGGAGGGAGGAAGGGAGGGGTTGTTTTGGGGGGTTTCTTGGGGATTTTTAAATGTGGTGACTCAGTTTTACTCTTTCTAAGGGATAATGTTGCCTCTTCTTGGAGATTATTGGTGGAAATAGAGTGATAGGAGGTTTTGAGGAAAGGAAGATGTAGTGAATTTTATTAAAGGATTTAATAACCTATAGTTACTATTTTTTAATATTTACTCCCTGTTATAATGTTATATTTCTTTTATCTTCTAGCACATAGCATCTCACAAATTGATTCAAAACTAAGAGAAGCCGTATGCCTGGAGAGTTTTTGGATGAAAGAAAATATTTCAATTAGCATATGCTTTTATAAATTTCAATAATTTATGAATTTTCTTAACAATAACAAGTCGTGCAGTTTCCTAAGCCCTCAGAATTTTTAGCTCATTTGCTTGTGGCCATAGAGTACCCAACAAGTTTATTTCTAAAAACTAGAGTTCTCTAAGCAAAGCGGAAGGGGCGCTCTTGACAGGTATTCATACATTCAGGTAATACTATTCGAAATAATAATTTCCAGGTAAAGTAAGAATAACTTGAGAAATGCCACATTCGATGAATTGGCTAGATTATCCATTGGAGTAACATCGACAAACCCGAGATAAAGTAATGGAACCATGATGGCTGGCTTATAAAGTTATTTAAAATAAGTGTTAACCGGGTACCTGAATTCCGCCTCCCTCATAAAGTTCAGAAGAGAGAAACATTGGAGGTCTTGATAAACCTTGATGAAGGATCTAATTATTACTTGGTGATCATTCGCTTTCATATCCTTGCAAAAGATTGGAAAACTTTGTGTTCATTATTTTAGGTGAAATGAAGGTGAATTATCTAAAAGGGTTTGTAGACCCCCAGAAGCCATTGTTTTTCATAAAACTCATTTGTTTATGATATAATATCGCCCAGAACGGTCTTAGAAGTGCCATTATCATCATTGATAGCATGAGTTGGAGCATTGGAGGATTAGTGGTTTTGGCAGGCTTTATAAGAGACTTGGCAAAGATTCTTAACCTTAGAATTGAAAATTTACTGTATCTGAAATTCAGGTAACGATTGCTGTCTATCAAGGTTATTTGTAGCAGATGGACTATAATTTTAGCTGAAATGAACTTCTGACACAAGTATGGGAGGTCTTAGTCTTAAGCAATAATTAGAAGGGGAAATAAAAAATATTAGTTTTCTTTCAGTTCTTCAGCTAATTTTTTACATATTTTCGTATCAGGTAATGGAGCATTAAATGGTTTACATGACCATAATTATTGCCTTCTGGATCTGCTCAAATTTGAGAACCCTATTGAAGGCACACCAAGCTAACTCTTAGAGAATCTCTTGCCTTCAAATTGCTTGGGTATGGTTTCTAATAACCAATTAAATATGTCCAATAACATATTTTGGAAATTTTTGAAATCAGCATTTAGAAGAAAAGAGTTATCACAAAAATTTGATGACGTTATTGCTATCTCTGCTTCCTAATCCATAAAGTAGAACATGAAATAGGTCTCATATACACTTGAGGTCCTGCTGATTATTTCTGAGATGAGGAGTTTCTATTAAGAAATAACTCTCCTTTATCTGGCTCTAAGATACATTAGTGACACTAGGAAGAAAGGCATTAAGCTAATTGCGAACTTCACAATGCTCACTGTGTGGCTAATCCAATCTGAGAGATTTGAATGGTCAGTTTCTAAAAATATGAGATTTACTTGGATAAATTGTCAATAAAATATGAAGGAAGCCATTAATAAGAGTGAAAATTTCATTTTTAGAATCTCTAAACTCTTAGATTTTACTAATATCTGTGGCTCTTCTCATAGAGAGATATTTAGGTTCCGGAAAAATTGGATGAAATTAAAAAAAAATAGGATTATTACATTTCTATTTTTAGGCAAGCATATCCCATGATGCAAAAGTTCACCACTTTGGAGAACAAAGCAATATTATGACTAAATCCACTTCTTAGCTAAGAAGGCTTCTATAAACCATCCTGAGCCATTATCAGCCGAAAGTATACAATTGGGATGAATATTTAGCCAAAATTTAATACCTGAATTTAGAGAATGGCCTAGTTGGTTGCTGAACCACTGAGAAATCCAGAATGGAAAAACTCTATTGATTCTAACAGCTAGCTGTTTCTAATAAAGCTCTTAAATTGTCCAAAATCCTTCATGCTATAATTTCCCTAATTGAGCAAAGAACTGCATAAATTTGGTGCTGTAAGGCCATAAAAATTTTATTGATGAGCAAAATGTCATAAAATCCTGTACCTCTTGCTATAATTCTCGAACTCTAAGGTTCAATTATTAAAATTGCTCTTTATTACAACTACTCCAAGATAACTCTAATAATAATACTCTAAACAACAAATTATTCCAAAAATATGCAAGATTTCTTCAAATATCTAATAATTTTAGACAGTTTCAACTTCATTAGTCCAATTCGGGGTTTTGGGGTTTTGGGGTTTTGGGGTTTTGGGG